TTAATCTACCAATTCAATGAGAATATATTATCAGTATACACTGTGGTAAATTTGTGTCTTTAGGATCGTAAACCGGCGTATTTCGGACAGTGGTCGGTCAACATTTTTGAGATGCGTGCCTTTCCACCTGAGCAGTTTCCTTGCCGTCCGTTCGATATATGTCGGCTTGTGGTCGTTTGAAGTGGCCCCTGTAGCCTCACCCAGTGATTTAGCTTAGATTTAGCAGTTCTACAATATTCTGGCGAACATTTGTGTGGATGTGAAATCAGTGTGGAAGGAGACAAAGCCGTGTTTGTGGTGTAGAGGCCGTAATCTTTGCGTAATCTTTTCGCACCTGGACACCCGACACGGCGGCTGTCTTGGGTAATTATTGTAGCCCCTCAAGAAATTCCTCCCTAACAAATCAATACCCTGCTGGGTAAACTCGTACTGTCTGATAGAACCCACCATTAGGCAATATTCTAGTCATATATGTGGTAAATCAGTGGTACCGTATTCACCGGTGTTCGTGTTTTGCCATGGTTCAAGTAGAAAAGGAAAATGTTTCACAAACAAAGGAAGTGTGGTATGCCATGCAAATCAGGGTATGAATACTAAGATTACAAAGAAGTAAGTCAACATTTCAAAGCTGTAATTATCTCTGAAAACATGTCATCAAAAGTTTATCCATGGTGCCTTATTTTTTTGTCCATGTAGTTTATTCTTTTCTAGATAATTTTGGAAAAAGGATGTTTGATGACTAATGGCTAATGTGTGTGGTTTTTTCCCCAGAGTGAAAGGATGTGTGGGGGTGAGAAATTATGTAAAGTCTAGTTCTATGCCCCATTTGGGAAGTAACATTTTGGGCAGGACCATACGTAATTGTTCGTGACGTCTATAGGTGTTGTGCACCAAGCCCAATCTTTCAAAAATATTTCTGCATAATCGTCAGAGTTTGGCTAGATAATGAAGTAATTAAAAGTAAGTAGCTCCTTCGATCATGCCCTTTGTTTGGTGATGACACATGCTTTGATAAAACTGGCACATCAACAAAGAATATCTTATTAGTTAAAAGTTGCTTTAAAGTTTATGTCGTAAATCACGGATCATTTGAGTAGATTATGTCCATTAAAAAGTTTTATAATGCTGTAGTAGACAGTATTTTCCCAGTTTGTAAAGATGTTGTATCTGCTGTCAGGGACACGAATTTGAACCCCCTGTCACATTTATCAAATGTACCCCTGCAAAGTTCCCAGTGTGTGGGGGCACAACCCGCTAGGTCTAGTGATAAAAGTTCATAAACCATGCACGGAATGGCGTCTAAATAGCTTCATGAAAAACGTTTGAGAATCTGGGCAAGACATCATGTCGTCAAGGCAATATGTTCAGTCCTTCTGGCTATGCTTTTGTTGTTGACTTTGGGAAGAGTGTTTTTGTGTGTGCATAGTCTCACTCATTCAACACTGATAGTCTGATATCCTTTGACTTTTCCAGAGAAACCAGTTCAGAAAAAGATGAAATCAACATATGATTTTTTAAATCATAAGACTTTCCTGTAGAAAGTTTGGATATGGCTGTGAACTATGTTCTAAAGCAAAAATTATGGTAGTTGCAAAATGTATTTGTGTCATGTGAATTGATTTGTTGCTGCAGGAAATTATGTGTATTGAAGGGTCTGTAGTATCTGTTTTTCAATTTAAAAGGAGGAAGCCATCTGTCAAAGATGTTCCCCTATCTAGTTCTGCATTAGCCAAGCAGAACAAGGGCCCCTTGGGGAGATACACCTGGTAGAGACTCTGATGCGGCTGATCCATAGTAAATTGGCAGTAATTTATCATATAGGGAACTCATGATGGCAATGTGAATCCAGTACACATAATACACATCCGCACTGCGTCAGTATTGAACAAAAAGCTCTGAAAGCATAACCGGCTGACTGGAGTAAAAATGTTTGTAAGGCATTGATTCCATTATGGAGATTTATAGGAAAACGGTTGACCATTCATGTCAGCAGGGCCCATTTGCCATACCTCACAATTACACAAGTCTTTGTCCAAAATCAACCAAGAAAGACTGCTGGACATTTTAGTCTTCAAATATTGCAGAATGAAGCAATTTTATCCTCAAGTAACATTGCGACATGTGTTCAACAGCGAATTGTGCAATAGTTGAAAGTTCTAGAGCATTTATGTCAAGAATATATGACTTGCTCTCCAATGTAGGCTACCAGGGTTCCCAGAGGTAGAACAGATGGCTTTGTTTTTCCCTGGAGTTGTCCTGGCAAATTCTTATTGTCATTATTCGGTCAAGCTTAGGCAACCTCTGACCTTTAAATCACTGTGGTCTGGTTTGGTCTTTTCCTCTCTTGTCTGTTCAGTATGGTAGGAAAAGGGCTTTTTTATCTGATGTAAATCAAGTTGGTAATTTTTTGGTAGAGTGGAGTCAGGAATTTTTGGGAGTTTGGTAGTTACTCAGCCTGGATGCTCAACTTAAAGTCAATTTGTTGTGTGGCCAAGGGCATGTCAGGAGTAAACCTCAAAGACCCAGTAATTTAGCATGCTTTGTTGGCACCTAGTGATGCCCACTGACTAGTTCCAGATGCAGATTGTGGTGCTTGGTTTGTAGGGTTGGGTTCCTTGATATGTGGTCGGGCAGTCTAGAGACAAGAGAAGCATTGTCTGAAGTGGATCCTGTTGAAGACAGTACTCAGTACTGTTTCTCAGGCCTGGGGGATGGATGTGTTGTTATTTTCTCAGACTACAGGTCCAGAGTTACCTCTTGAGCGGCTAAGATGCAGGAAAGACTAAATAAACACACGGTAGCCATGGTCCCATGTTTTGAACCTGTACTCTGTCATTAATGCGGCATCTTTATGTGTGATGTCTAGTCTTCTTAGGAAGTGGCTTACGCAAAATTGGAGACGTCCTGTTCCCTATCCTACAATCTAAGAACATTTTAACTAGAGATGTTGCACAAAAGGGCGTTCGTGACCAGACGTCTTTAAAGTATATTGGATAGCACACAGGACTTAGTGCAGCAAGTTCCATTCATTGTATGGAGGTTTCTTCTAATGTAAAATCCCATCATGTGAAGCAAGGGGTAACGCTGCTGATAAATGAAGGATTTAGCCCGTCATCTTTTCATATGTCCAGAGGGAATCTTACATGGAAACCGTGAGAGCTAGAATAACAACTCTCAAGGACAGTGGATTATAGCCTTGATGGATTGTGTCTATTTTTTAATCAAATCCTTAAAAGGTAGTGAATTTCTACATGCATTTCTGAATTGTAGTTGATTTGATGGAGGACAGTTTACTGGTGCGTTTCTCCATGCACCTGTGTTACTGTGTTCTCCGCGGACATTTTGGCTCAGCTCGAGTCAGTGCAGTGCAAACAGTCAAACATTTGCTTGGTCAGGGATTCTTTTGTTGGTGGTTGTTGTGCAAGGCTCAGTGGGAGTACATGTTGTTTGCCAATGTGATTGCATCACCGTGCCCACATAAGGGCAATACCGTAAAAGCTCTGAGTGAATTTTGGTGGTTTATCTTGTTACCATGCAGAAATTGATGGATGGAATTTTATTTTAAAAGTATTCCTCGGGTTTGAAAACGAGGTCAGGTAATTATTGTTGATGTATCAATGGTTCTGAGATGCTGGTTGGTTGATTGATTGATTGACCTTTGGAGTAGGTTAGCTCTATACATGGTGTCTGATTTCTCCTGTCAGCAAAGTTGGGTTGTTTTGCTGTTTGCATGATCAGTCATCGGTATTTCATTGTTTGTGGCAGGCAAGTTCTTTGTTACAGCTAGTTATAAGGTCTTACCAGTGGTGTCATTCTTTTGTTTATCACAACCCTTAGCTCTGCAGGCTCATAAAAGTTTTATGCTTTCTCATGAAAAAGAACGGTCCATTAAAGTTTATGCTATAATCAGAGATTGTGTTTTGTAGAGATAGTGTGTTGACATCGAAATGAAGACAAAGGGTTCTAGCTCAGACAATCAGATTCAGATATGTACTTGCCAACTCTAGAGCGAACCTGCGTGTTAATGCCATGTGGCGGTTGACCAGTTATGCGATTTGGATTCAATTCATTGTATGGAGACCAGCTGCCAGACTGTGAAAGGCCATGGCTTGTATTCATAACAGTCTTTATGCTTTTTTGTTTTTTGACTGCACTGCATGGCCCATGGTAATGCGTTTTCCATAACAAAGGCTCCAATCGGCCAAAATATGTTAAAAAACGATGTAACTTGACGCAGAAAATTTTGTATACAGACCATGGGAATGTGAAATTGTACTCGTGGCATGTTGGTAGGAGGCCTTTTTAGGGGATTGCGTATAATTCTAACCACGGGACTTGCCTATCACTTATGCATGGTAGGGAGCAACCAGTAGTGGTCAATTATGGGAAACCGTTCTTTGTTATTTTTCTACTGTGTGTAGCGCACGTGTACAGCTGCGCCTGTTATAGTTATTATGTTCTGTATTGTCCCTAGATACAAAGAACTGTAATTCCCGACAATAATTCTCCATGGCATTCCAATCATAATTTGTACAGAGGAGTATATTTTGCATCCAACAAAGTAGATATTTAAGTTGTTAGTGCTCCAATTTCTGAGGAATTATGTAAAAATTTGCCTGGTAGGACTTTGTACAAAAAAAATTGATTAAATCAAGACAGATTATTGGACAAATTTATTGGCTTTACATGAGCCCAGACATTTGTTATGTGCATCAAATTTTAATCATCTCATCATCTTTTATCATTGTTCACTCAATGTTTCATGACTTAACTCTCTTCAGTTATTTTCACTTGTCAGGTCTCGATGGGAGCAGACTTGTGATCTAATTATCTCCAAGCAGATCTTTTGGTCGGGGTAAGACAGTATCAAATTGGCTAGTGTGTAACTTGGGTGGGGAAATGGTTACAGACTGGCCAATTTGATACTGTCTTACCCCCACCAAAAGATTTGCTTGGAGATTGGTGATCTAACACATATCTTTGAAATATGTCTTCTTTGATTTAGCACATTTTTAACAGCAAACACTGTAAAGATATTGATATAGAAAAGCAGTAATTTTGAATTGAAATGCAACATTGGTGTATCTTTCGAAGTGAAATGTGACCATTCAACTAGAAATGGCACATATCCTCACGTCTGCGTAAGTGGAGTCCATTATCCAGGCAATCATTTACTGCCTTGCAGCGACAAGTTTAGACTGAGTCGTCCTTGTAGGTGACCTTTGAATACCGTGCAGAATTCTTGACACGAACAGGAGTTCAGTAACATCTTGAGTATGATAACACCACTCAACACGGCCATATATTCTTCCACCAAGCTTCATTCCCCCAATTTTTAGTAGTACAGAAATTGTTCTGTTCAGGAACAATACCACAGGGTATGCTTGTGGCTGAACAAAGAATAATGGTAAGCCCTTCCTTTTCGTAGACGATATTCCACTTAGGTGTTGAGATGCATTTTACCTTCAGCCACGTCACAATGCCAGGTAGTTGCCCAAATAGCCGTCTGTGTAAGGTAGATCAGCCTTCTCAAAAAAATTTAGAGTAGGTGGCTGATAAGAAAAAGTAGCAGAAGCGAGCCGCGCAGCGGCTCGCAGGGGGAGGGTACGGGAGGGGGGTGGCCCCCCCTCCCGTTGGGGGGGTCCGGGGGGCCTCCCCCGGAGGAAATCGTAAAAATTAGACCCCTAAACATCGTTTTTGGTACATTCTGAGCAGCTTTTATGGCAATCTTGTGGCTCCAAAATTTACTGTTCGTGCACAAATAATTCCGGAAAAAGGCTGTACTAAAATTGTTTGCCACTCCGATCGTATTACGCGCGGTCCTTGCGCCCGGCCACAAAATGCAGAAAAATAAAGAAAGCATATTTAAATGTCAATTTGATCGAAAACATAATCATTGGGATGTGAAAAAATGTCACAGTTTCGCTTTTTGGAAGTTTTGTTTCTGTTTTGACGGTTTAATTCTAGCGGGGTGCGATCCATAAATGCCCTATGGAAATTCACCCCGCGTCCCGGTACACTGACTTTCGGGTTCCTTGAACAAGAAAATTACGAGAAAATGGCCAAAAATCGGCGTAGAGAAATATACATCTTCCCGAAAATTCTTTTAATTATGTATTTCTTTAATAGGATGTTGCTTAGTAGTCGTAGAAAAAACGTAGAAAGCAGCGTAAATGTGTCTCTTCTTCACCGGCGAGAGCCTGCCGGCGAAGAAAATCTTCCCGCGCTGCCGGCTGCTCGCCACATCGCTTATCCAATCAGAATGCAGGTCATGTGAGGTGAACCAATCACAGCGTCGATCGCACGCTGCTACTTAATATTCATGACAAGATGGCGCCTGAAAGCTCCTGTTTTTGTACAGCGATGCGGAGTGTGCGTGTTTTTATTCCGGGGTTTTGACGCTGATTTTTGGCTAGCCGTGATTAAGCTACAAATGCCACACTAGTGGAGACAACAGATGAGTGATCATTTTACGATCGACAAGAACTTTTGATGAATGAAACAGCTGTGAAATCTCGCTGATGGCGATTTGTTTTGAAAATTTGTCTCTGTGTATGAAAGATATGAACACGCTTCTATACATGTCTTGATATTTTTGACGTGATTTGTACTAGTTATTTGTAGCAGGAATGTTACTAGTGCCGGGAGAAGTTGGGAAGGTAGCGGCTTGATAAATTTTCGTGAGCAACGAGTTTACGAAGCAAGTTCCGCCTAGCTCGAGCGATACAGCTCCGCGGATACAACTCGAGCCCCGAACAAGACCCTCCCCCCGTAAAGTTTCGGCCGCTCTGGCCGGCCGCGGGCCGCTCGTAGAAGCAAACGCTGACTCGTGCACTAGAAATCTGCACAGGAGGCTAAGAAAGAAGCAGTTTTCAGATCCAGAAAGCTAGCAGAAATTTGTCTGAAGTTCGTCAGAAGAAATGAGCCGGTGAAGTTTGTGAGAAAATGTAACGGAGCTTACTTGTTTTTCTGAAAATTTAGACGAAAGTAGCCGGCGCAAAAATTTGAAAATTTTGACGAAAGTAGCCGGCGCAAAAATTTGAGTAGGCGGCGATTTTCGCCGGTAGCCGGCTTGTTTTGAGAAGGCTGTAGATACAAGGGTAGACTGTTTATGTTGGGGATGAAATTGCACCCCGGGGTGAACACCTGAGGTGAGGTTAACCTGCAGGTCATGGTGCATACAGAACTTCAAAGTGCCACAGGGTACAGCTGAAACAACAGCCAGGAGCACACCAGACTCACAACCAAACCACTTTCATTGCTCAGTTATTTGTTGATGTCCAAAAAAATTCGAAAGGCATGACATTAACTCAGAAATGTTATATGTAGTTATACGGATTGAGAATACAGTATACTGTACTTTGTACGTTGACGTCATCCCTTCTGTTGCGCTGTTGTACGGGACAAGTTCCAAAGGTCTTTCTTTGAATCAATAGAGGCTAGCAAGGGCAACGCTGCCATGGGTAAAGTGGCCATCTGTTCGCCTAAACAGGCTATACTGCTGAAGTTCAGGTCGCCTGGTCACGGTGTTTCTGTCATACCATTTTGATGGGTAGATTAACCTGTTCTTCCTGCCTCCATCATTCCTCCATCAGCCTGGCAATGTTTCAACATTAAAGGCATGTGTTTGGATGTTGAAAATTTAAAATGATTTGGATCTTTGCATATTGTGTGGGTGTAATGTATAAGGTAATGCGTAAGGTATATGTACAGTGTGTGTGTGTATAATGCAGTTTGTATTGGAAATTTTGGATCCAAGTTGGTGCGTCATGAGTTATTAATCAGTGTACATGGCCTTCAGACAAAGTAGACAGGCAGTCAAAGGCCCTTGTATGACGTACATTGCAACGTCTCAGTCCTAGGCGATATAGATGGCATGCATTAGTTTGTATATAAGGAGGAATGGCAGGGTTATTGATTTTTCAGAAGGCACTGCAGGGCAGGTGGTAGTGCAAAAATTAGTGTGATACTCTTGCGTGAGCAGTTTACTGACAGATGAATTTTTAATTTGCTGACATTTTGAGTTCATCCAATGGTTAGGTTGACAAATGATCTGATGCTCAAATTTCTTTGTTGTAAATAAAAACAAGCCATGTACTTGCATCTTATGTGTGGTAGTTATGCTATCTATATCATCTTGTTAATGTATTGATGGAAATGTAGGTTGATTCTAGACTTAGGCCACACCAATTTAATTTCTTGGTTAACGGATTCGCCGCTTCATTTTTTTCTGATTTGCAAATAAAAATAAAAATTCAGAATCAACTGCAAAATGCTCATATTTTTCCCTGAACAGTTGAAAACAGTCCTTTTCTTACTACTTGTTACATTCATTCCATCTTTCAATGCAGTGGTATCATTAAAAGTTCAAAATTCATTGTTTAAATTTTGAACCAGCCTGGTGTGTTGACTTCATAGCTCCTATCGTACCATTTTGGGCCATAATAGGATGCCTAGGCCTGTTTCTATTTTTTTTTCGCCCGCCCGCTCCATTATTTTCCTAGAAAAATCCGTTAACCAAGAAATTAAATTGGTGTGGCCTTATGCGTGCTTCTGGTGTTCAGGACTGACTGCTTGTATTCTCTCTTGCAGAAGATGTGAAGTCTTGGGAGGATGATATTGAGAAGGTTTGGACCAAGGGACAGGACTCCTCGAGCGAAGATGACAGCGATAAGTACTGGAGAGAGACCAAGTCCAGCGAAGAAGATGGTAAAATAATGCTTAATAAATCTTCAAATGGTATAAGAATTACATGTTACAGGATTTTTAAAAAGTTGGAATATAAAATTTTGTGCCAAGATCCTCAATACTGGTTCCACCAATTCTGTGTATAATGTGATTTTTACGTACTGTGTAGCATCTGACAAGCTATTAGAATGGTATTTTCTATACCTTTACCATAAAATTGATTGTAAGGAAGAGTCTTTTGTGGTACTAGCATTGAGTGATGATGACTGGTTGAGGAGCCAACTAGAACAACAGAGGAGGGCACAACAGGCCAGTGAGGTCGCTGCACAGCGCCTAACGTTCGACAGCCTTCCTAAACCTTTGGACATGTTTCCTAAACAACAGGGCAAATCTTATAGTGAGTTAAAAATGGCAGTACTCTACTACTGGTGATGGTAGGATTCAGAGTGGGTGGTAGTTTAGAAGAAGCTTTGGAAGAACAAAGAAAGCTGTCTTCCTTTCTCTTGAAAGTCTGGTGTACTCTCATACTAGTTTTGACATCTTTGTAGTGTTCAGTATTCCGCTGTTGAAGCACCTTCTTTCATGTTTTCTCTCAAAATTCGAAATGACTGGTGACCGGTAGTGCTAGAGCAATGGTGATTGGTACTGTGGGAAGAATGTGTTGAGGGAAACATTGTTTGCTGTGTGTTCTCTTCTTAATATATGCTTTATTGGAATACCTCTATGTATACTGTGTTAAAAGAAGTAATACTTGGGATTAGTGATGCATGGTTCACTGGACTTGGATCCGGACTTGTAAGAATGTTTAGGTTCAAGTCCAAAAAAACCTAAAAGTCAAGAACTGAGTCCGGACTTAAAAGACCATTTCACATACCCCTTTTCTTTCCAAACCACCTAAAACCTTCTGTAGATTGTAACATCTTTGCTGCAAAATGAAGAAAACATTGCCATCGGGCATCGTCAAGTACCGGCCTCCATGTTATATGGCCAAAGTTTCACCCAGACATGTCAAAACATTGCAAGGTTGCCAACAAAGCAATTTTGTATATGCCAGGGTTTAGGACTGAACCTAAACCTCTGGACTTGAATCCGGGCCTGAACCTAAAATTGGGTTTAGGTATGCATCACTACTTGGGATTATCTGGTAAATGGAGGGGAAGTTGTGGTGCTTAGTGCCTATCTGCCCTTCCAGATGCTGAAGGAAACAAGCACAAGCCATGGCTGGAGATAGAAGATGGGCAGATCTTCCACGGACTCATCAATGAGAACGACATGAGCATGGTGGAGCTCCACCCCAAACTGAAGGCTTCAGATAAGGACTCTGGAGACGCTGGTAAGTCAGCTTTAGAGCAGTAAGCCTGTCCATGTATGTATATATGTATGTATGTATACAGTGTTAACCTAGATGTGTACAAAGCTGGCAAATATACAGGTAAACTTAAGTTTTACAGAGAGTGGAGCTTCACCCCAAACTAAAGGCTTTAGATAAGGACTCTGGAGATGCTTGTAAGTCTTTGCAGAAATGGAGTCCTAAAATCAGCTCCAAAACAGTTAGCCTGTCCATGTATATATACAGTGTTAAACTAGATACGTAGAAAGCCAGGTTTACATACAGCAGGTTTTTTTTATAGAAAAGTATGAGGGAGCGAATTTCCATTATTCAGATGTTTTTGACGTGGTTTTTGACGTGGTTTGAGGTTCATGCAATTGACAAATTGGTAATTTATAAGAGGGAACTCGCCGATTGCATGAGGGAGCTGCGCCCTTGTTCCCCTGTTCAGAAAAACCCCTGTACAGGTTAACATGTTTTTGACAGAGAGAAGCCAACAACCTGTTATTATGTGCACCACAAAATGATGGCTTGGCTAGGCAGGTGTTGGAACCCAGCCGCCAAATTGCCGTGAATAATAGGCCGGATCTGTTATTGCTGCAGAGCCAGTCTGTTTTCTCTTTTGTAACAACATTCAGAAATAGCTCGCTGCCTGTTAGGTATGGTAATTTGCCATGTTTGTGCCAGTGGAGTGCTGCCTAGAGGGGACACGTGTCTATTGTCACCCGCTAGAAACTTGTCGGACTAGGTAGCATTAGTTTTACCGTAAATCACTTTTTTTGTGATACTTTTACATTTGCGGTTTTCGTGGTCACTTCTGTAGCGCAAATTTTATCATTACCGTGAGCAAATAGGTTGCTGTCTTCTTTTTTCTGCACTTGCAACCACGACCCTATCCATTTTTCCATCCATTTTTCTGCTACAAATATTAAGTGATTTACAGTGGTTGTTGACAACAGAAAGTGTTTTTGTGTTAAAAACTCGCCATCCCTGTCTCCCCACAGGTAAGATCTGCCAGTTCAGGATCACGCAGCAGGACGTTCCCTTTGATGCGTACGTGTTGAACCCCAACACCGGCGAGGGCTACATCCGCGCCCGCAAAGAGCTGAACTGTGAGGACAAGAAGGAGTACACGTTCACCATCCAGGCCTACGACTGTGGCATCCCTGAGAAGGGCATCCAGCAGAAGAAATCCCACAAGTCAGTCCTCTAGCTTTTGAACACAATCAGTCCTTTAGCTTTTGAACACAATCAGTCCTTTAGCTTTTGAGCACAAGTCAGTCCTTTAGCTTTCGAACACAATCAGACCTTCAGCTTTTGAACACAATCAGACCTTCAGCTTTTGAACACAAATCAGTCCATATGGTTTTGAACACAATCAGTCCTGTAGCATTTGAACACAGTCAGTCCTTAGCCTTTGAACTTAGTAAGTCCTTTAGCATTTGAACACATGTCAGTCCTTAAGCCTTTGAACACAAGCCAGGCCATTAGCTTTTGAGCACAGTCAGTGCTTCTGAACTATTCCCAAGGCACTTGTGATTTCCTGTATTATCTGGCTATTGTTCCTAAAGGTTAGAAGATATCATAATGTACTCTCTGGAGGATGTCATCCGTCAGGGTAACTAAGAGACTAGATCTGTAAAGGAACTGCGTTTGCTTATTCCCCAGGGCTACTGTTCGCATCCAGAGTTCATGGCCAGGGTGTGAACCTCTTTGATAGGATTTTTTGTGTGTGATATTTTCTACAAATTTTCTTTTTGGTGTGAAATTTTGACCCAGGGCCACTGTCCCAAGTTCACTGCCAGTGTGTGAAATTTTCTAAGAGGATTTTTTTGTGTGTGTGAAATTTTCTTAAATGTTTTTTTTGTGTGTGAAATTTTCCTCCAGGGCTACTGTTTGCATCCAGGTGAAAGATGTGAACGAGCACAGCCCCAAGTTCACAGCCAGTGTGTGAAATTTTCTGATAGGATTTTTTTGTGTGAAATTTTCAAAAATATTTTTTTCTTGTGTGTGAAATTTTTCTCCAGGGCTACTGTTCGCATCCAGGTGAACGATGTGAACGAGCACGGCCCAGAAAACTACAGAGGATGGCACCCAGGCTAAGAGTTCACAGCCTGTGTGTGAAATTTTCTAAAAGTATTTTTTTGTGTGTCAAATTTTCTAAAAAATTTTTTTCTCTAGGGCTACTGTCCGCATCCAGGTGAACGATGTGAACGAGCACGGCCCTGAGTTCACGGCCAGCGGGTACGAGGCGACCGTGATGGAGGGGAAGAAGTATGAGAACATCCTGAAGGTGGAGGCGGAGGACCGCGACTGCTCGCCCGGATTCAGCCAGATCTGCAGCTACGAGATCGTCACCCCCAACGTGCCCTTCCAGATCTCTGAGGTAGGTATCTAGTGCCTCTTTGCAGCACATAGGGCTTATACAAGAAAACAGTTACTCAAGAAACTGGATAGAATTTAAAAAACTGTCATTTGGACAGTTTTCAAATCCCATCCAGCTGCTTGACTTAACTCTTTTCTTGTGTATCTTATTACCTTCATTTACGCAACATACTTATTTTATAGTGTATATTAGTGGTATATAGTCCACATGGCAGGATACTTTGCAAGTGAGTCTCGAGTTCACAGTTGTTCATGTTGAGTTGTGAGTTGATACAAAGTCTGTCAGCAACATTGTCCTCTGCATTTCAAACTTGGAGCCTCAGTTGTTGAGTTCATAAACTAAAATGTTTCTGTTCCTCTAGGATGGCATCATCAGCAACACCGAGCCCCTGCAGTACGTCGACGGCCACAACTACATCCTGACGGTCACCGCCTACGACTGCGGCCAGAGGCGCGCCGACCTGGACGTCTTGGTCACCATCACGGTCAAGGAGCAGTGCCACCCTGGCTGGAAGGACTTCCAGAAGCGCATCGAGTACGAGCCCTTCAGCGGCACCAAGGCTCTGCTGCCCAAGGTTAGGGAAAGTTTATTGCAAATACATGCCAGAGGGCTCATTGCAAATACAAACAACTTGTATGAAAAAGAAAATACGATGATATGATAGACTATGTACAAAGTTGTACTACATTATACAACATATTTGTTACTAATTTTGTTGGGTTTGACTGCTTCTTTTGAGGCAGTGGGATACGAATTTACCCACATCTTCTATAATATGTAGGTACAAAATGTATTTTGATTTTAGTAGTAAAATTGTTTTCTCTTGGTGGGGAATAGTGGGAAAGTAGGGGTGCATTTTAGGCATGGTGGTGAATAATTGGTTTCTGATATCATAAAACGAATACTTAGAGATGAAATGGTTTTCTTGATGAACCTGTAGGTGTACCTGGAGACATGTGGGGAGGAGGTGTCTGACATCACCACCACCTTCACCCTGGAGACCAGCCACATCGGGAAGGGCTGCGACCGCGACACCTACTCCTCCAGCTCTCTCCTCAAGCTCTGTGGTGAGTTTTACGTTCACGGTTTTTACCGCAAACTTCTCGGGTGTGAAATTTTGCTACCGCAAACATGAAGTGAATTACAGTAACGAGCACAAGTTTCATCTTGAAAAACAGAGCTAGCTGGCAGGTTTTGTACAATATCAAATTTTAATGCTAAAGATTGTAAAGAGTGTACAAGATCTTGGGAATGTATTTGGATTCTATTAATTTTAGTGTAGATGATGTGAACTTTATCTTTTCAATATACATCTATTTTGTATGACTCTTACCTTTTCCCTCATGACCTCAATGAAAAGCTTCACATGAAATGGTTCAAACAGACATTCATTGTGATAAAAGTGTTGTCTTTCAAAATCTATCCAGTTGCTTGTGTACCAATTTCCTGAGTCGTAACATAAAAGTTCATCTGTGTTGGTATAATACATAATGCCATAATGTATTATAAAGTCTAGCCTTTTCGTCATTCCTTGAGTTGTCTTTGCATTGAGGCTTTAAACTTGATTTTGCTGTTGTTTTTCCCAGGTGCCTCCCAGGGCAGTATTGACCTGCTGCCTGCCCCCGGGCTGGGGAGTGAGTGGACCCAGAGCCTGCCTACCGACGAGGGTCACGAGGGAGACCAGGTCTTCTCCTTCGACGGGCGCCAGACCGGCGTTCAGATCCCCGAGGGCGTCGTCCCCAAGAACCTGACCAACCAGTTCACCATCGCCACCTGGATGAAGCACCGTGAGACCTTTGGAGGAGACAAGGAAACCATCCTCTGCAAGTCTGACAAGAAAGGTGGGAAGGCACAGCCTCACTTGTATGAGCACATCAGATGAATATACTGCACCTGCGCCAAACCCGTAATGTATTGTGCATAGCAGAATGTCTTATATAAGGCCGTATTCTTGCATATACGGTTAACACTCCTTCTGTAGTTTCCAGATGTTATGTTCTGCAACAGGCAAAATTCTGATGCAACTTTGACCAAAAATCTAGTGAAGGCTAGGCCGTGAAAAATGAGGGTTTTGCACAGGCACAGTGCGTTCTGTCGACGTGCTTCTTGTATGCTGTAGTGTTTGGTTAACAATCACAGAGCAAGCACTTGCACAGAAGAGCCACCTAGCAACTAGTAACAAAATTGCAGATTTTCTTTCAATAACTAACATTGCAACTGGCACTTGGGCATTGTTGATGTTGCCTTGGTGGGAAATTAGGGAAAGTTCCAGAGCATGTCTGGAAGGGCTTAATGCTAACTACAGTCTCTCTTCTCCCCTCCCTAGAACTGAACCGCCACCACTACTCCCTGTATGTGCACAACTGCAAGCTGATGTTCCTGCTCCGCCACGATGGAGGTGATCTGGAGACCTTCCGCCCTGCTGAGTTCCACTGGAAAATCCCACAGGTACAAAACCCTTTCATACTTCAGCTTTGGTGTTTTTTATTCCAACATGTCATGACTATACATGGTGACGGCACACTCAAGTTATTTCAACTTATTTTATGCCGCCACCAACGCAGAGGACAAATATAGGACAGGACAATACTCATTTTTACTTAAGTGATGAAAGTCGTGTGAAATGCCTTTCCCAAGGGCACAAGATCGGTGGCATGGCAGGACTCGAACCCGGTACCTTTTGGTGTCTGTTCGATGCAGCTTTGGTGTTGATATTGTGAATATTTGGCATCCTTATTTCAGAGAGTTGATTAGCAATACCTAGAGACTAACAAGAACTACAGAATTTAAAAGAAAAACTGTTTGTTTTCAGGTGTGTGACAAGCAGTGGCATCACTACGCCATCACTGTGGACTTCCCAGAAGTGAACCTGTACGTTGACGGCATCCCGTACAGCCCCTTCCTGGTCACCGATGACTGGCCACTCCACCCCAGCAAGTTTGACACCCGCCTGACACTCGGCGCATGCTGGCAGGGTAAGAACAGTTCAGCTACTGTGTGATATCTTCTAAAATCACTGTGTGTGTGTGAAATTTTCTAAAACTATATTTTTTTGTGTGAAATTTTCTAAAATGATTTTTTGTGCGTGTGAAATTTTCCTAAGTGATTTATTTTGTGTGAAATTTTCTAAAGTGATTTTTTTCGGTGAAATTTTCTAAAATGATTTTTTGTGTGAAACCTTGAAATATATTTCAAACTTTTGGTCTCTCAATTTTTTAGATAGTATGAAGTCATTTAGACTTTTTAATGGCAGTTTTCAAATTGTATTATTGACAATGACAATGATCTTTATTTTATACATTCATAGAGACTCTACAGCTCTAAAGATGTGCTGCACTACTGTTTACATTGTGTATCTATTATTATTGGGTTGTACTAACATTGCTGTCTTGATTTCAGGTGGTGACCAGGAGATGTCCCAGTTCTTCCGTGGCGAGCTGGCCGGCTTGCTCATCCACCCCGGCAAGACGGAGACACGACGTGTCATCAGCTGTCTCCACAACTGCAATGAGAGTCTGGAGTTCCACTCCTTCGACGAGACCGGCCCCGGTTCAGAGGTAACCTGCATGCTGTTCATCTGTCTGTCTGGAGAGGGGATAGGGCTTGACTAGTCGCTGCTGTCACGGCACACTTGTTTTGTCTAAGCTTTTAAAGCACAAGTTAGCAGTGCTTCAGTGAAGCAGCTTTTCACCATACACAGTACAGTAGTCATTCCAGCCATGCTTTCACAACAGAAGCATCACATTAATGATGACTGTTTTCCATAGCAGAAAAAATATATCATTTGCAGAAACGCCTCAAATCATTGTCAAAGTCGGTATTGCCAGCCACTCTACACTTAATTTGTCACCTGCCTTTATCTTTTCATTTTTACTTAATTTCGCCAATACTTAACCCTGCACACTGCTATCTCTTACATCTAACCTAACTTTCTACCATTCCCACCATGCTTCTTATAGCCTGGTTCTTAGCTCATACCTAACTCCACACATCTTTATGGCTCACATTCACAGCCTTGTCTCACAACACCATCCCTTTACTAAATGCTTGGCAAGGATCGTTCAATTTCTCCCCTCGTAATCTATTCTAAGACTGTAAAATAAAAGAGAATCGAGTTAAGTGCTGCATGCCTGACTTTATGGAATCCAGCATCGTTGTAGCCTCTCTGAGAGGCGGATCTAGTAGTGTAAGTATATCAGGAGACAATGCATGGGCATGCTGAACAGTAAGTATTGCACCCAGTGAGTTTTTTGTAAAGAATTCCTTGTTGGTGTTTGTGATGGTTGATAGTTGTTATGTGGACACACTGTCTCTCCTCAGAGTAAGAGGACGAAGCGGGAGGAAAAGAGGGATAGTCTTTCCCCTGTACGTCTTTCCTTGCTGTCCTTAATTTTCTGATTTTCTGCATTATTTCCCATTCTGCCATGACGGTTGGTTATGTACAGCCTGACAGCATGAGATGTTGTGTTACATGGCTTCTGTTGTATAGGAACATGGCTGGAATGAAAGTTCTTGAAGGTTTTTGCCTGATTTTTTCCTACTTTCTATGATTTCTGTTACAACTTGCGCACTGTAGGTCTGCTATTTGCCATTTTCTTCCCATTTCTTTCTTTTCAGAAACATGAAAAGATTCACATAGAATTTCTAATGGCAAATGTCTCTCTCTCCTGTAATGTTGCTCAGGTTCACTTCAACCCAGATCAGACACAGCTGTTCCTGAGGGGTGAGTTTACCCCCAAGAACCCCGACAATGAGGCGTACACCCTGGACAAGTACACCAAGGTGCTGCAGAAGGTGGCGTACCAAAACGGTCGCCAGTTCCCCACTCCCGGCATGCGCGCCCTCAAGATCCACACCGAAGTCAAGTAAGCAGAATCACTTAGTGATACAGAACGTCTGCTTTTCAGAGGTTTTAGATGTATCCTTAAATATAGTTCTAGCTCCTTTTGTCATGGAATTCTCACCTCACCTATCCCTTGACCTCATTGAGGCTTCTTGGGGCACCATGACTTGATTCACTATCCTCCTCCATTTAACTCTGTCCCCTGCCGCTCTCATGGCTTCAGCTAAGCTCGATCCAGTCCAATCTTTATGATGTCTCACCAAATCTTTCTCTAGTCTACCCCTTTTTCGACTTCCTGGTACTGTCCCTTGTAGTACAGTTTTTGCAAGCCCTGATGACCAAACCATCTCAGCATGGAATTCTAGCAGGTGTTTTTTTTTCTGCTCCTGACCTATGGTTGCACCGTTCCTCCCCCAGCTGCTTTGATGACGAGACGTGCATCGAGGTTCCTGACGTGGACGCCTACGTGATGGTCCTCCACCCCGAGGAGCCCACCATCAACCTGAGCGGCACGGACCACCTGGCTCGCCGCGTGACGGAACTGGACCAGGGCGTGACTCCCTTCAGGGACCTGCGCATCGTGAGCACCATTGTACGCGACGTGGAGGAGGAGGAAGAGGAGGAACTTCAGGAGGGTAGGAACACTTTACTATTAAAGCTAGCATACTATTGAGAAATACAAGACTGCAGTATGAGTAGGTAGTATTGCTTGGAATGTTTGCTGTGTGTACTGTCTTCCCCCCTGGTTGGTAGGAAAGGAGCAACAAAAAGATGAGTCAATGCGACTTCTGCATGAACAAATTCCAGATTGCACCAATTCAGCAGGAATACTTGCAGTGCTTAAAGCCTTACTGATACTTGTTCCCTTACCAAAATGTTGGCAACTTGATAACCGTATATGAAATGCAAACATAAGATGGCATGGAGGTAAATTTTTGTTTGCATGTGAAACCTGAGTGGAACATTAAACAAGAGATTGGCAATGTTCCAGTGACACTGACAAAACAAGCTCTAACTTGCAAAATAAATGTGCAATGGTACTTTTTTTTACTGGTGTATCCAGATGTATACAGTCCTGTAGTATGAAGTAAATTTTTAGCACCCCTTTTGTGTATATTGTAACCCACCCAAAGTCCTGAAGGTTGCCCACCTAACTGAGCCTGTTTGTTCCGTGGATGCTTGCTTTGTCCAGAAGGCTCAGCTATGGCAGGTCAGTACGTGTCCACCCAACCCAAGCAGCCTGCACCAAAACCTCACCCGGCGCTTCCGTGCCCAAACTCCATCTTTTTGTCACAACATTACGCCCATGTTTTTTAAGACCAGGCGACTTTTTTGCCGAGAATTTTCCATGTACATCCATTGAATGTCTTTCCTACAAGATTTTTTGTGGAAAATATTTATTGCAAGCTTTGTATAGCCTGCCACAAGGTGGAATATTGAAGCATTCTTACCATCACAGCATGAAAAGACGAAGCTACCAAGCATTTCAACAGGAAGCAAGTGTCTTCATCACACAACAGTTGACTGCAATACTATTATTGTTCCCTAGGAGGCGCCACTGAGGTAACCCCCATCAGCCATAACCTGGATGCGTGTCAGATCACAGTGGACCCACCACTGGAGTCTGGGAAGGAGGAGCTCACCGTGCCCAAGGAAGACCTGGCTCGCCTGCGTCTGGAGAAGTCTACTGCTACCAACGGTCTTGTCATCAAGGGTAGGTGTAGAACTTCAGGGATTGACAAAGTAGAGGACATGTACTGAAGAGAAATATATGTCAGCAAACCAACTTAGCATCTTTTTGGATGCTAAGTTGGAAAATTAGGGTAGAAAGAGGCATGTATTGGAGAACTGGAAGTGAGAAATTTATGTCAGCGAACAAACTTAGCATCTTTTTACCTTTCCTGTTGAAAAAGTAAGGTTTAAAATTTCCTACAACAATCCAGACTTAACTGAAAGCCAAGTTTTTCTTGTTGTACCAGACTTGGAAAGTTGGAAACCCCATACTTTGGCTAGTTCCTTGAGTTCAACTATACTGATCTTTACTTAATCATACTTTATCCACTTGACTGATCTTAATACCTTTTGTAAAGTCTGACACAAATTCAGTCTGCTGACTGCTATGTGTTGAGCTTCTTTCTTTCAATAAACCCATTATTATCCTACTGTGTGCTCTCTCCTGTAGGTGTTGATACCATCGCAAACTACGAGGATATCCTGCGTAAGGTTGTCTACCGTAACTCCAAGGCCGGCGACTACTTTGACCGCGTCCTGAAGCTGAAGTGCTCCGAGATGAACGGCCGCTATGAGAGCAACGAGTACGCCGTTGAGGTACATACTGTTCCTTCTGCATCTAAAGACAATCATTGTCTTGATTTTAGAGCAGCATTCTAGCCAGTGTCTGTCATTTGACTGAATTTTTCCACTCGCAACTCGCAAGATGTGGAGAGAGATGTCATTAAAGTAAGCTCAGTATACCTGCAAAATTTGCCCGTCAAAATGCAGGAAATAGCGTTTCAGGGGGTCAAGATTGAAACCCACTCTAGGATTGTTGCACCTACAGTGCTCAACATGATCTTACTTCGAACAAAATTGAGGTTTTTGAAAAACATTTCAGGTTGGCTAGAACACTGTTTCTGAGACATACTTGTATTGTATGTACTGTTATTTAATAGTAACAGGTAATGACGAATGTGTTTCTCCTGTGTCCACAGCTGAAGGTCCTCCACACCCTGAATGTTGCCAACCCTGAGAGCCATGTGAAGGTGGCCGCTGTGGCCCACAACGTGCCCGCCCAGTTTGTCCAGTCCAAGAGTGTTGTCCACGAGGCGGCCGTGCCACGCCAGGTGCCCCAGGTGGTCGCCAGCTCCCAGTCTGCCAACGGTTAGTACCTCTGTCCTGGAGGCTTTTTGGTAGCCGCAAAATGTACTGCACCTTCGTGAAAATTGTAGTGTATTGTGCATAGCACTTAGGCAGAACATCGTATTCGAGTATAAGGTCGTATTCGAAATTGAGCAAGCAGTCTTTTACAAGTACTGTTTTCTTGATACTTTTATATTAGTGGTTTTTGTGGTCACTTCTGCACTGCAAACTTATCATTTCCATGGACAAATTATTTGCCGACTTTCTTTCTGCTGTACCTGCTACCATTGCAAACGTATAATTTCGTAGACATGTCCTTTTTTTTTACCGCAAACATTTCCAGTAGTTGAAGTGATTTTCCTGTTGTCATTGCAGTTGTCACCTCCTTAAGTGATTGTGAATGTATAGGTCTGCGAACATGTTCATTTTTCTCAGAGCTCGAACTTCACTACTGCAAACATGAAGTGATTTACAGTTGAAGTGATTGTCCTGTTGTCTGTGCAGTTGTCACCTCCCTGGTGATCGTGATCTGCGTGGGCTTCCTCATCTTCATGATCGTGCTGGGCGTGTACCGCATCCGCGCCGCCAACCGCCGCAACATGGACTCTGAGTGGGACCAGGCCGGCGAGCCTCGCATGGAGTGGGACTCCTCCGACCTCACCATCACCGTCAACCCTATGGTGAGAGGCATCATGTTTTTAACTAAAGAAGTAACTTGCGCAACAGTTGTACAGGGTACAAAGTATGGCATCTACTAAGTACATATTAACTACATTTTCATAATGCTAACGTGACTAATACATGAGTGGTTGGCTAGCATGGGATAGCGATAGGTATGAACTTTTACAATTATTAGAGGAGTTTCTAATATCAACTGATGTAGTAGGGCAGATACTACTATTAGGTTTGGCCATTGAAGGCTATGGTGAAATGCACTAAAACAAGGACTCCAAAAGTACTTTCCCACATTTTAGACCCTGCCTGTCCCTTCTAGCCCAAAGTTTCCAAACTGGACCAAAGTTTTCAAGAGCACAAAGTCTTTTCAAAGATATTCAATAGGGACAACTTGACAATGTGGCAGTGGTACTGGTAAGCATCTGAAGTTCTTTTTTGTTGATTTTAATCTTTCGTCTTCTTTTTGCCCAGGATGTTGAGTATGAGGGAGCAGAGAGCGACTCCTCTGACGATGATGATGACAGTGCGCATGACGACTCCGACAGCTCAGATGATGATGATGAGCCCCCAAGAGAGGTACACAATCGTTTCATGTAACAACTGCCAGGGCTCAAAATACTGGCTGCATGTGCACCTTAGTGCACCCAAATTTGAAGCTGTGCCCCCAATTTTTTTCTGTGGGTGCACTGGTCCACCTATAATTTTATGTATGTTAAATGTATAGTAGTATACAGCATATTCTTAACATCTAAGTGTCAGAAGAAGAATAAAATCTTTAATGTAGTACTTTTGAAAATGAAATATTAGTTTTTGCTGACATGGTGCACCCAAAAAAACGTTTGTGCACCCAATTTTTTAGGTTGGGTGCACCAGTGCACCTTTATTACCAAAAATGAATTTTGAGCCCTGACTGCTCTTGAACTTACCTGAAAATAGAAAGAGTTCCTTATGTCTTAGATGGAATGTTAGCTACAGTAACTATTAATGCATGGTGTGTGTATCTGCATGTTTTATAAGATTGCATGTGACCCTTTTCTAGGTGCTGGGCTACGAACAGGAGCTGGAGTGGGACAGCACTGCCATGGTGGCGTGAACCAGCCTTGCCACATGATTTAACATCAAATCCAACAATCATACATAGATGCAACAGATACAAGCCAGTGTTTCTCACAAAAGCAGCACTTTCTTGCCCACGGTATTCATACCGTGGACACGGACTTGTTCTTAACAAAGACAACACACAGACTGCATCTTAGCTTTGTTAGTGTAAAAAGATTTTGATACATGACCAAAACAATGTACAAAAAGGGGAAGTTGGACAGGGAATGAAGTTTTGGGAAACGTGCCGAGAAACACTGTCGAGTATTTGTCCTTTTCTCTCTGATGATCACCAAATGTTGATTGATTGAATTAATGAGAAATGATGAATTATCCAATGGCAGGGCCGTGATTCACAGCTGGAGTGGGACAACTCAACACTGAGCTTTTAAAGCGACCAACAACTGGATAGGCTGTACTGAGAGAACAAGAGACAGCAGGAAGGAGGAGACTTAGTATAAAGAAGTGGCGATTTCTGAGCGGAAGAATCTGTGTATAAATTACCGTACATAATGACATGCCCAGGACCATCCCCTGAAAAATAAAAATTCACAGAGATGCACTCGCGCTAACGTTGCATGGTAACTGGCACCTATTCTACAAGACTTAAAAAAGCTTGAATGGAGGCAGGTTGATCAAAGTTTTATTGATGGTTGTAACAAAAAAAAATTACTTAAGTCATCTAGAAGTGATGCCCTTGTGTAATGTCTACTTAAAAGACCAAGTGATGTAAGATGTATGGAAGCAATAGTTGGCTAAGCAGTGTACTTGAAGACAGTAAGTTAACCCCCGTAACACTACGATCCTCGAAAGACATATCTATTTTGATGTGAGTGGTGTAACTCTTAGCTTAATGATCATAATGATAGCTTTGCATGATGTAAATGATGAAATCATGATAACAGGAGAAACTGTAGAGTGTGCAGTGGGAGGGGGGCATTTTAAGAACAAAAGGTGTTACTTCTAATAGATAATATCTGTATAAGGACATGGTCCTGGGCATATTTCTATAGAGAAAATAGGGTGTACATGTATACAAATCAGGATTGGGTATAAGATTATTAACGTAACTACAGCTAAGTTTGTCCGTAGTAGAACTCAATTGGATGTATTATGTGATGAAAAAAAAAATGATGCTCATTCCTAACTTAATCGTATATGCATATGGAACTGGTGTGAAGCTTAAGAATACATATCTGCGCAGTTGTATGAAGACAAGAACAAAAGTACTGAATGTGTAGCTAGCTGCAACACTGTAGAGTTTTGTAATCCACATTTTAGGGATTGGGGATATAGGGTTGCACTCGCTGAGTTGATTTTATGGTATTTTAATATTAGTGTGTGTGTGAGCATGTTGTAATGTCTTTAAACAAGGGTTATAAGGTTGTGATTGTATCCATTTTGTTCTGATTTTTTTTTGTATTCCTGTCTGCTTTGCGTCCTCTTCCAATGATTTGTCCTGCACTGTTTTGATAATAAAAAGAGAGGGATGTATAATTTCTCATACCATAGAAAAATACTGTTGGCAAGAAGCAAAAGGTTAAGATAACAACAAGATACAAGACTTAACGTCTCTTGAACATTCCTGTATATGTAGAAGCACTTACGAAACTGCTGAACGTATTCCCTGTGTAAATCTCTTCACATTTCTCCAGGCTTTCATCATGGCAGGATAACATCTACATGTACTTATACTTACCTACCCTTCAGGTTTGTAAGAATCTGGACTGTGTTGTACTGTCATTAAAACTGTTTGGCTTTCCCCACACAAGTGTGGAGTCGTTTGTGTGTTGCTTTCAACTCGGTTGGCAAATGTTAGATGTACAACTTAAGTAATCTCCAAGCAGATCTTTCGGTGGCAAGACAGTATCCATTTTTCCTAGCTTCGGTGGCTAATGGACACTCCTCTGGCCAATGGATACTCTCTTGCCACCGAAAGATCTGCTTGGAGATTACAAGTGAAGTAACACAAGTGTAATATCAAGAGCAGTAGTTGGTAACTGGCCAATTGGTCAGTCTGGCCAATTTGATTCTGTCTTTGCCCTTTACCAAAAGATCTGCATGCTTGGAGATAAGTTTATG